GTTTATTGTAGGTCACGATAGTTTCGACCGTTCTCTCGTTGTTGTCGTAACACACTGAGGTAAAGTGAGCCTCACTCGGCTCCTTTTCAAAATAAAAGCTGAAAATAAAAGTTCTTAATACTTGGAAAAATTAATATTTAAAAGCTGTGTATAACTGAAAAAATATGAAAAAAAAAAAATAAAAGTTGTTATTAGCTGAAAAATAAATAAATAAAAGCTGTTAATTATATCTATGTCTTTCTGCCATGTCAGGGACCACTCTCACTTCAGACTGACTCTAGAAGACCCCAAGATGTTGCCCAACAATGTTGACCAACATCTGATGTTGACTTTCATTACTCAATAATGAGTAATAACTTATTCAATAAAAAGTCTGTAATTTGTCAATAATAGTCAATAATTCATTCAAGAATAGATTATGGGTGTTTGGTATGGCTCAGTGGCTAAAATGGGTTGGATGTTAGAGAAATTACTTAATTTTCAATTACCTGAATGCACAAATTCCTTCATTTATAGTTAAACTTTAGGAAATCAACTTTTTTTTTCTTGTGAAAAAAATATCAAAATTAACTTTAAAATCCAATCCAGGATTAAGTAACAACTAGCAACACCCTAACTGTACTGTGTTTTGTGTTTCCAACAGATGCTACGATGACTTCTAAAAATGGATGTCCCAATAAACACAATAAAAAATTTCAATGATGCATCAAATGTTGTCTGAGTATGTTTTAAGGTAATAAAAAAATGTGAAATCTGGAAAACAAAGAGAATTCCTGAATCTGTCTTGTGTGCTTTGATGTGTACATAAGTTTATTGGAGGTCCTGAAACAACTTTTCTGAGAACACAAAGATTTTTATTTTACCTTTGGCCAAGATGTCAGTTTGAAATCAGGCTGCTTACTGCAAAACCAAGAGGTTTTTTTAAGACAGACAGTCTTCATTTGTATTGTTTTGTCGACTAAGCTAAATGTAATTTCTAAAATATGGATAAATCTGATCTCATCATGCAGCATGAGCAACTGGGTACAGGTGTGAGGGCCAAAAGTCTGGTTATGTACTGACTCCTAAATGTGCTTGTTTTCTACTGAAACATGGAGTAGGGTTGACCTTTAAAATGTGAGACAGCTGAGGAAGTGAACCAGTAAACAGAAATACCTGCTCCAGGTGCAGAAATCTTACAGAAACTGACAAATCACTCATCTGCAGTGACTGCAAGTTGAACAAGAAAATGTGAAGTTAAAGGAAACCTCCTTTGTCCCAAGGCCAGTTTAAGTATCATTAATATTTTTCTTTCTTTATGAATCGATTGTAACTTTGTTCACATTTTTCAACAACCAAAATGGAATTTGTTTTTTTAATGTTATGGCTAGGTATTAAAAAAAAACCTAACATTTAGCTCTCCCCACTACCCAGTTATGTTGCTCTTATTTTGAAATGTAACCGGAAGTTCTGTGTTAAGAGAGTCGAAAAAAGAAGTTATGGAGACGCCGCGGCAGTATACTGGAGCGATGTCGAACCGAGACGCCGCTAATGTCGAACCGGTTAACACCATAGACATAATATGCCTGTGGTTAACACAATCTGCCAATAACGCCTTGTTTTTAGACATCATGTGTCTGTGGTTACGGCATTTTATCGTTCAGCCTTTTTTTTTCTATCGTTCAGCCTTTTTTTTTCTATCGTCCAATCAGATGTGGCCGTCCAGACACGCCCATTTTTCTATCGTCCAATCAGATGTGGCCGTCCAGACACGCCCATTTTTCTATCGTCCAATCAGATCCGGCCGGACAGAAACGCCCATTTTCCTATCGTCCAATCAGATATGACCGCCCAGATACGCCCACTTTCCTATAGTCCAATCAGATATGAGCGCCCAGATACGCCTTCCGAATTTGCCTGCAGAGACCCCTTCTTGAGTTTTAGCGCATTGATGCGACCTCTACCTAGACCTGACATGAGCTTAAACTCAGAAATAGCTGCAGTGAAACCTGCTGAGACCAACAGTGGAGATATTATGTTGTTAAATCCATTTGGGGCAGCTCGGTGATATTATATCATCATTTTTCACTTTATTTTAGAGTTACTTCACTGAACTTTTTTCCCCTCCCATTTATCTGTTGATCTGGAGTATTATTTCTTAATTATTACTTCAAATCAAATTATAAATCCAATACAGAAAGCCGTGCACCTGTTGGCATGGGTTGGGAGGCATCCATTTTTCTGACTTATTAGACTGGGCTTTTTTATTTTATTTTATTTTTTATGAGACAACATTGACCAGTGAGAGGAAGAAAAAATAAGATAAAAAAAAAACTTTGTAGAAACGCACTCAAAAAAACAACAATAAATAATAAAAACTTGGCAACATATATCAGTTTTTGTTTTGTTTTTCACAGAAAATGTTAAACAACTTGGAAACATTTTCTGGAAATTAATGTTTGCCCCCATAATATTTTTGCTGAGCATGAATCAAGGAATCCTTACGGTCCAATGAAACCCGGAAAAGTGCACAGAAATGTTATAAAATTTAGTGTATGCATAAATTCATGGTGTTTGGAATTATATCAAGCTCCATTCCTTATTGTAAAGCATTTGTATGGCAAGCCAGGAGGCCTTTTGCACAAAACTAAATTTGGTCAGTTAAAATCATCCACGTCTCATCCTGTTCCCATTACTTCAGGTGTTCCCCAGGGTTCTGTCCTGGGACCCTTCTTGTTTATCATTTACAGTCTCCCCCTTGGTTACATTTTTTGCAAATGTCATATTGTTTCGCTGCTACACGGATGACACCCAGCTCTATCTCTCAACCAAACTTAACTCTACACTTCCACCCTCGCCTCTCACTGATCGTCTCCTTGAAATAAAACCCTGGTTCACTTAAACTTTCTTGTGTCCCATCGGTGTATGAATGTGATCTAAAGCTCTGATTAGTCTCTAGATTTAGATTAGCTTTGTAGAGATGTAGTAAAGTGCTGTATGAATGCGTGTGTGGAGGTAAACGAGGGCACAGATTGTATTGTAAAGCGCTTTGAGTATCTTGATTAGATAGCACAGCGCAAGTAGTTTACCATATTACCCTTTCTCTAGTTCTGCCCTACAATTAGTTACAGATAGTTCACACCAAGATGGCTGGTTTGTTGTGTTCATTATGGTTGCAACAAAAAAAAACAAATATAAGTCTGTTGTGGTCAGATTGCCAACAGAAGTCAAGAGTTATACTTGATTATCCAAAGCAAGTTGATACTGACAGAAACAACAGTGCTGCACAGCTTCATGGTGTAACCAGTTAAAGCTCTTTATTCAGTTTAAAAAGACATCAAGGAGATATTTTGATACAGTTCTTCTTCTCCAGCATATACAGTATATCAATAAGTCGTGGTTTGTTAAGGCACAAGATTAAAAAAAGCATTTAAAGTTATGAAGAATACCAGCCTTCAGAAAACAAATTCAACCTCGGACGCAGTTTTTAAAGCTTATGGTTTAGAGACGAACAAAACAAGAAAGGGAAGGTAGCTGGAAGACATAAAAACATTAGCATTTTTTTTTTACATTCTTGAAATACTTTCTTGTTGCCAAACGTAAATACAACACAGCAAAGAATAACAAATGTTTGGAAGGTCAAAGGTCACTTTAAATTCTGTAATCAGCATAAAATTGCTGTTTTTAAAATTATTTTCATACCAAGACCTACAATGCGCCTCTTATTTTTATTTCTGACAAACCCTCATGACGTAGAGCTGCAGCTTAAAAGCAGTTTAATATGTGTAGACACACACACACAAAGTTTGAGTTATCTCATAAATAGCACGTTTAAATTAAGACTAAACATTGATATAAACAGAAGGGTGCAAACGGGAATAAAGGCAGGAATCAATGAAAGTCCTGTTGAGTATTGCACGAAGAAAAGTTGCAGTGAGACGTTCTTTGTGATTGTAAAACACAATTTCCAAAGTGTTTTAAGACGTTTTTTTCTGGGATTAAAGCGTTGTTTAAAAATCCTCATAAATGTATCCAAATATCTGAGATGCCTCTCATTCATGACCGGTTTGCGTGTTGTGCAAGTTTGTACCTTTCTTATAAAAGCTATAAAATAGAGTCAAGTCTCAGAGGGAAATACAGTATGTCGGAAAAACTGGATTTTTCTTTGGATAATTTAAAAATTATTACACACTAAAAACCGCTGGGTTAAAAACAAACCAAGCAGAGGTGCAGTCAGGTCAGACTCGGTCAGCTTTTGAGTTTAAATTGTTGACTATGAAGAAAAACACGGCTCATCTTCGACCCAATCACGGTGTCGGACTGATTTCACCCAATATCTTGTCAAACCAAGCCGAGAGTTTTACCTCCGCAGTGCAGTTATCAAATGAACCCAGCAGCTTTTAGTGTGTAGACGAGAAAAGTTGCAGTTTGAGTTGCACGATCCAACAGATTATAATTTATTTAGTAAAACTAAAGGATAATGTCTAAACCTTGAAAGGGGAATCATGACACATCTGTGTTTATACTAATAAAATTAGTAAAGACATAACTGTTCAGTA